AGAAGAGAAGAGAAGAGAAGAGAAGAGAAGAGAAGAGAAGAGAGAAGAGAGAAGAGAAGAGAACAGAGAAGAGAAGAGAACAGAGAAGAGAAGAGAACAGAGAAGAGAAGAGAACAGAGAAGAGAAGAGAACAGAGAAGAGAAGAGAACAGAGAAGAGAAGAGAACAGAGAACAGAGAAGAGAAGAGGACAGGACAGGACAGGACAGAACAGAACAGAACAGAACAGAATAGAATAGAATATTTATTGCCACAAACAACCAAAAAAACTACAAAAAAAACAAATTAGTTTAAATAAATTAAGGATGTGGCAAAAAAGGTGGCCAGCTCAGCTGGTGCAGGTAGGGCTTGACCATTCCTACGCTGCTTTGTTGTAGATGTAGAATATAGTCTGGAAAAACACAAAGGCTAATTTTTTATTTTCTTTTTAATTCGGAGTCGAAGGAATTCTATATTTAACTAGTCTGATAGAGTGGTATTTGAGACTTAGTTTAGTTCAACTTACAGAAGATGGCGTCGTAACTAATGACAAAATTGCGTAGATCACCCGACAAGCTATAAGAGGCGCCACTGTCGCAGTAAATTTGTGCGTTTTACGGAATAATTACGTATTTTTTTCTTACTAAATTAAATATATTGAAGTCCCAAAGCCGCAGCGTGGGCCACAATAGCTTCAGCCGCTTGTCGTATCTCGAGATGTATGCGAGCTGCTTCCAGCCAAGTCTCCGCCGCGACAAGAGACGCGCCTTCCAGACGGGCCACGTAACGTATAGCAACTGCGAGGTTACCTCTCTCCATCCAAAAACTAACAAGATATAAACAAGTCAAACCATTACACTTTTACAATCCTTTAGAAAGAATATTGCCCAACTCAATTTTACTAATATTATAAATGCAAATCTTTACATGGATGGATGTTTTTTTAAGGTATTTCCATGGATAGTCTGGAAGAACACACTACTAATTAAGTATTTTAGTTCCGCACGGACGAAGTCGCGGAAGATAGCTAGTTTAAATAATAAGCTAACACAAAACCAATGAAAATTATACTAAATATTAATTAGTTTTTTTCAAATATCGTGCCCAAAGCTATGTTCGCGCTGTGAAGTGCCCACTCTCAGTATCCCACTACCCCCTACTACATCTAAAACTGCGCAGCGACTCGCGAGAACTTCACAGTCCTCAAGATATCTGAAAACAATTACCGAGCTCTTTGCAGTAAATCAAAAGTATCCAAATCTTTCGCTGGTTCTTTAGGCGGATCATCCACCTCTTTTTGTGGTATTCCTGAAACCTAAAACGTTATATATTAGTAAACAACACTTTTTTCTAGACTGTCGGTGGCTCAGGGGTCAAGCACTTGACTTTCAATCTGCAGGTCCTGGGTTCGAATCCCGTCATGTACCAATGTGTTTTTCTATTTCAGATTTACATATGTATATTTATCCGACGTTCTTACGGTGAAAGAAAACATCATAATGCTGCACATATCTGAGAAGAAATTCAAAGATATGTGTGAAGTCATCCAACCCGCAATTGGCCAGCGTGGTTGACTATAGCCTAATCACCCTTAACTTAGTGTAGGCTCCGAGCCCCTCGGTGGGGACGTATAGTGAGCTGATGATGATGATGACTTTTTTCTTTATATTGTCAAAGTGTTAATGTGGAAAAATGAATTTAACAAAGTAAAAGTTACCTTAAAGAACAAAAACATCGACTGTAACCAGGATATAAAGTAAATTGGTAGTGGAGATCCCTCCAACTCCACTAAGGCTACTTTTAAAGCAGTCTTCTCCATCTGAAATTACATACCAAAATATCCTTTGCACTTGGGTACTAGGTGGATCTTGGATTTGAAAACATTCTTAGTCAGAAGTTCGCAATAGCAGCGTTAGCTCCGGGCAGAAGGGGGCGCCGCAACGCCCTAAGATATAGGTGACGGCGCAAATACTAAAACCGGCCTTGGAAGTTTGCCATTTGGACAGAAAAACTTTCTTTTCAACTAAAAAATTGTCAATAGTTGGATGATGTAGATCTGGCGGCGATAGTTTGAGACTCTTTCTTTATATTAAATACCTTGTAATAATTCGCTTTGAGTACACTGTCGGGTACCACGCCGTCTGCCCACACTGATCTTGGTATTGACTTCATAACTGTAGAGACAAGTTTATCCTCCCCTCCTAAATAAATTGACATATTAATACACAAGACGAGAACTTCAAATGCTTTCTTGCTTCAGCTCAGTATACATCTCCAATGAGGGCCTCGGAGTCTACCCTAAGTTAGGGATGACCCCATAGTCAACCACACTGCTCAGAGCGAGTTGACTACACACATATCTTTTGAATTTCTTCACAGCTATGTGCAGCATCACGATTTCTTCGTCGTAAAAACGTAGGATAAATGTACATATGTAAATCGAAGCACATTGGTATACATATCGGGATTTGAATTCAGGGCCTGTAGATAACAAGTCAATTGTTTGACCCCTGAGCCATCGACTCGCTTGTTCTATACCTGATGCTTTCTGTACGGCCTTCAACTCTTTTGAGATGTTAACACATTTCTCTCCCCTGCGAGTCGCTGCCAACAATGACGACCCAGCCGCCCAAAGCTCCTGTGATCTTTTAGTCTCTTTCTCTGCTTTCAAATGCGCTGGATAATTTAAAAGGAAAACAAAAAAGGATCAATTTAAATGTCAAAAGATATATTGCGTTTAAAAGAAAAAAAACTGCTTTTTAGCTGTAGTTATTTAATTTGCTCACTAGATGGCGCAAATCTCAATCATTAAATCAAATTTCTATAACACAAACTTCACTCATTCCTATATTCAAGAAATATAAACATAGAATAATAGGCAAAAACAATTTTAAACACATTAATAATACATTAACTTTTAATACAAACCAGCAAGCTTGTCTTCTAATATTTTTAATTTGGCTGCCATTTCGGTGCGCTGTTTTGCAAAGAGACGTTTTTCAGCTGCCACTTTGTCAGCCACCATTTGATTGAGTTTAGCTGTCGCCTGAACAGAAAATATTTTACAATAAAACTCAAAACTCACATAAATCCAACTACAATTTCAATTGGACTCTTTTTCATAAATTTCCCAAAAAAAAAATCTAACAAAAATATGAAAGTGTCACACTTTTATGGAATTTGACGTATATTTCCTTTTATTTCTTTATTTAAATCCGATATACCTCTACTGATCTCTATAAATAGATAGGTGATTGCTTGGAAATGACAACTTTTCTTTGTTCCGATTTAAACGCGCCTGTCGATATTACAGCTATCTATGTTATTAATCCACACAACCGCTACAAACCGCTACCAACAGCGCACTATGATAAAAATCAAATAAGCACAAAATACTCCGTCTAATAGCCTGTCCATTTATAAATGTCCGTCACTCACACACCTCTATCTCTCTTTGTTTCAATTTCTTCTCCAAAATCTCTTCGTGTCTTTGTAATTGTTTTCTTAATGCGTCTTTTAACATATCGTCGTTTCGTTTCTTTAAATTTTCTTCCTGAAATATTAAAAACATTTTTTCGTGTTCCAATATTACAACTATTTTTTCTGTATATTTTATTTTCAGACTAATAATAAAAAAAACTGATATAAAACACTCACGTATCGGGGGCCCTTCATCAGGATGAGTGGTACTGGTATTATTTCGCGGACGTGGCCCTCAGCTCACTAAATCCTGATGAAGGACCCCCGATGTGCTCGAAACTAGTCGGTGCCGCCACATGACGAATATACGTCAGTGTTTAGCCGTTCTTATATCAGTTTAGTATAATGCCTCACGAAAGTTTGAATTATTTAATAATAAAAAATAAAAAAACAAACCCTCGTCTTAAAATCTTTTTCCAATTCGAGACGTTTTAATTTGGTCAGATTCTCTAAAAACAGTTTCCTTTCTCGTTCAGTTTTTTCATCTTCCGATCGTGTAGCTATATTAAGTAAAAACAATTAAAAAAAAACAAAGTATAAACGAAAGAGACAAATACTTTATCTTTACTATTATCAAGAGATTTGATTGTTTGATTTAAATAAACTCGGAAACTACTGAACCGATTTAAAATATTCTTTCACTGTTGGGAAACTGCACAATAACTAGATAATAGTCAGAGTACATAAGCTAAATTCAGTACTAGATTATTTTTAATTCCTCACATTTAGTTATGTTTTCAAATAAAATATTTATTGCGAACCTAAAATCTTAATAAAGGTTAGAAAAAGGGCCACTTCATTTTGTTTTATTTTAAAATTAATAATAATTTTAAACATTACAAATAAGTTAGTAATTTGACTAACTGTCCACAGCTCTATCTGCGCGCTCCTTCATACCAGCCACCACCTCTTGCAGTTCTTCTTCTAAATCTTGTTTCTAATTGCACAAAAAACGTATTAATTTTACGACAAAATTAACCTTAAGAATAATAATAAAATCTAAATTATAACAAAGTCTCCCAAGAGTTTCTTAAATATTATTTTCTACTTTGGAAAAAATTACTAGTTTTGGTAATTAAAAATTGTGAACTCTCAAATTTCTCTGTGTCTCTGAAATGGACCTCAGGGGATGGACCAGGTGTATTTTTTTATATAACAAGGTGGCAAACAAGCGAACGTCCACCTAAAATCGCTGAAATGGCTAAGCGACCGTTGCATATCCGTTGCCTATCTTTTATCGACGGAGGAGAGGATGCACAGAAAGAAAATATCTTCCCTTTCCATGCATCCTCTCATCCGGGTAATCCACTTCCACTTTCAATCCTTTCCTTATATTATATTGTATTATTGTAACCAATACATAAATTACATAACAAATTCGTCTTAATTCAAAGGCTTTTAAAATAGGATGCTATTCATTAAGGTTTTTTTTTATAACAGAAGAGGGCAAAAAGCGGGAACGCAGAGGTGTTCAACGACGCCCATGCACATCAGCAATACCAGAGGAACCGCAGATGCGTTGCCGGCCTTTGAGGTGGTGATACGCTCGCCTTTTAAAGGACCCTAAGTCGTAGCATGGTCGTAATTTCCTTCAATAAAGCACTAGTTTTTTTTTATTCTATTTAAAATGTAAACAAACTAACATATCGATAAGTATGGTATAATAGTAAGTCCGGATCTCCATCCATTCTCAACTTATTATGTGTATAATGAAGACCAGGTATTAGAATCTCATTTTCCTCTGTATATTTTTCTATGTACGTTTCCACCTGAAAATTAATTGGTTTTTATATAAATGAATAAATTACATAAGACAGCGTATTTATGACCATAGAAAAAAAGAAGTTTGTAAGAACGATTTTGAATTTTGATTTCGACCTAAAGGTTTTGCTTGCAGGTCCATTTTTTTTATTAATTTATAAACTGACTAGAAGTTTAGTAGATTTTGAGTTTATGTTGAAAATGGGTTACAAAAATTTAGGACTTTTTTGCTTTCTTCGCTTACGTAGGCTAAACTATAGGACCTACGTAAAAATGATGTATGAACGAATTGTAGCTCTTTAAATTTACTAAATAAAAGTCCGCGATAACATATATCTATCTATCATAATTTATTCACAATAACAATTTTTTTATAACAAATCTTACTAATTTTATGAATGCCATTATTTAAATGGATGTTTGATTGAAAGTATCTCCGGAACGGTTCAATGGACCTTATCAAAATTTGACACAGTTGTAGAACATAGTCTAGAAGAACTTAGTTACCATACTCTTCCGAAACTTGACCGATTTTTATGAAATTGTATTCAGTAGGTCTGAGAATCAGGTACTATCTAGTTTATACTGCAGTGAAAAGTTACTGTTAGATAAACTGACCATTTGCCACTGTCTGTCACGAACTAATGCCTTATCATTTTCCCATTGATATTGTATTAAAGTTGCCTTTATCTTCTCCTGACATTGCTCCATCATTTCTTTCGTCTTCTCTATAGCTTCTGGAAGAGCTTGTACTCCGCAATCCAAGTAACGAGTTAATTCCTCTAAAAAGATTTTAGTGTTTTCATTGAAATAAAGCCCCTGTACATAAAGTCACGGCAATTTTCCGAACATGACGATTTAAGCAAACTATATCATAACAGTTAAGACGCTTCTTACAGTTAGGAAGAAAAGCCGACACTGTGCCGGTGTACTGGTGCAACACTAGCCTTACTTAAATGTCAACGTTCATGTCCATTCACTAATCTGACGCTTGACTTGGTAACGAAAGCGCGCCATTCGCGTCAAATAATTCTAATTAAAAATGTAAAAAATTACAAAAAGCAACATAAATCTTAGATAAGGAGATTTAAGTCGGTAAGCGACTTATACATTGTCGTAGCTGTTAGTGCACAACGCAGGTCGTCGACATTTTTGTTATAACCAACGACAGTCGCTCGCAACCTCTTTCTCGAGATTTCGAGAAGTTACTTTGCTATTTATTTATATCAGGCGACCCTTTATCTTATAAAAAAGTATGTATATATTATTAAAATGTTTAATTTATTTTTTTTACTTACCCATCCCCTCTTGCGCTTCCAATGCATTCTGTATGGACACTCTAACCAAATCCATACGTTCCTCCATTGCCTTGCGAAGTTCTTTTAATTTAGGCATTGTAAAATCGTTCATTGTATCTTCTACTACCTTAAATATAAAAAAAATATGAAATTAGGTAAGCATTTCAAGAAAATCCTGACTGATTTTATTCCTTTAACAATCAGAGGAAGGGTTATACGGCGATAACCTTTTATAATCAATATACCTATTTCAATACAAGTGTAACTGCAATGTAAACCCACACTGTAAAAACGACCATATAACTATTGTAAAGAGCGTGGGTAACTCAGGAGTGAAGTACTTGACTTATAATGTGCGGTTTGATTCGAGCCCCGCCATATGCCAATGTATTTTTTACATATGTACATTTATCCGAGGTTACAATGAAGGAAAACATCGTGATGCTGCACATATCTAAGAAATTCAAATATATGTGTCAAGTCGACCGTACTGGGGCAGCATTGACTATGGCCTAGTCTTTCCTAACTTAGGATAGGCTCTAAGCATATCAGTGGTGACGTATAGTGAGCTGATGATTATTTTTACCTGACAGTAATAAACACAAGCTGCTTTAGCTGTATCATAATTGTTGACAACAGTCTCAAAAAGATCCTTCAAACAGGATTCCACTTCGCAAATATCTTTCGTCAGTACAGGCGGTGGAAGACGAACGCATGGTGGTTGTTCAATTACTTCTAGAGATATTAAAAACAATTAAATTATTTACTGAAAGAAAAAAAAGATAGAGCGAAAAATAAATTTAACTTACCTTTGACCGGTTGTATTATTTCTTTAGGCTTTTCTGGAACGGCTGCAAAATTGAAATATAATAATATAATAGTCATGTATTTCAAAGGAATATGCTTTAATTACGCGGGAAAGTTTTTATAGAGATGTCAAATGAAAAAAGTAACAAACAAAGATTTATTAATTTACTAGCTGTCGACCGCGACTACGTCTGTGCGGTAATAAAAAAAACATAATTAGTAGCCTATGAGTTCTTTCAGACTATGTATATGTATGCCAAATTTCATCTAGATCCGTTCAGCCGTTCTGGAGATATCATCAAACAAACATACATGTAAACATTCGCATTTATAATATTAGTATGATGTAAACTTACTAGGAATCGCTTTTGGTGGTTCTTCAATTTTACAAACATCAGTTTTTTCACCCATATGTATATATTTCTTAAAACTTTCGATACATTCGTTCAGATATTCTTTATAAGACATATTCTCTTGAAATATAACAGCTATCATATCGTCGAACCAGGGCGCGTATATTGTGAGCCAATCACGAGTCTGCGGAGATTGTCTGAAACATGTCAAAAAGGTTAATAATCTTGCACAGATATCTATGGACAGGTCATTCCTAGAAAACAACAACTTTCGCTTCATTTCTGAATCCTTATTCGTGTTTCTATTAGTTAATTCAATATCTATTTTTAATTAGATTCCTCAACACTGGTACCAACAACGGTCAGCACATAAATGGCGTAAATCAAATAGGCACAAAATAACACGGCTTATAGCCTGTCCATTGCTGATCAGTGATTGTGGACAAATAAACTTATTTTACGAGGCTATTGGCAGTTTAAACCCATAATACTGAAGAATATTAGACTCCGAAGTATAAAGCTAAGCCTATGTATTCCAGACTATGTTCTACATTTACGCCAAATTTCATCAAGATTCGTTGAGTTTTGGAGATATCGCATTTAAAGTAAGATACGTACTTAGCGTAATACGCGAATGCTCCTGCTAATGTTGCGAGAAAAACTGTCCCCCATAATATTCTGTCGTCCTTTTCTTTTGGCTTAGGCGGCGGGGGAGGCAGCGGACAAGGCTCTCTGTCAGGATACTTCCTAAATTGCTTCAAATTTATCGCCGACTGAGATATTCTGACTAAGCGATAGTCTATCTGTCTCGGGTACTAAACAATAATACAACAGCTTTGTATAAAAAAACAAGAATATTATTCCAATTTCACTTTGGTAATTCAAAATTCATGGAGGAACGATTTTGCTTTGTGGGTCCACGGCAAATGGAAAATGTAGGTAGAAGTTTACCCTTACCTTGATTTTTACCTGAATAAAGACCTATGCAGATTCCAGTAAAAATTACGTGCGACCATAAACTTTTGATCTATTTCAATTATGAATTAATATCTTATTAAAACTACGATAAAATGTTTCTCACCAAAACAGATTTTGTTTTAAATATATGGCTCGCAATTCGTTGCATTTCGTCTCATTTATATACGTTCATAAATTAATTTCACATTTCGTACAAATTCATTTAAAATATTAAACAATTAATACATTTGCAATGACATTTAATTTTGACAAGCTAAAGAAAGCTGCTAGAATTGAAATGTAACCTCTTTAGAACGACACAACTAAAACTCTAACCGTTGTACAGGACAGGCTATAAGCCAAAGTATTTTGTGCCTATTTGATTATCGCCATATTGGCGCTGACAGTAATAGTTAGTAGCGGTGTTAGAAACTCGAACTAATAATTTGAATAGTATTAGCTGCCAGTAACTTCGACATGCGCGGTTAAGTCGGAACAAAGAAAAAGCTGTGATTTCCAGGCAGCAACCTTCCCAGAAATAGTTTTTTCAAAGAAATTAATAGGGTTTTAAATATTGTTTTTATACATGGGTTACGATAATCAGGACTCGGGTAAGGTAAAATAAAACACTGATTGAATAAAAATCATTGTCTAATTTATTTAAATTACATTTTAAATATTTACACAAACCGCTAATATTGCTGGGACTAAGTAATTCCTGATATATGTTCCGTTTTACGTAAATGCAAGTTTTACTTTTTTATACAAAAAAAATGACATCTAATTTTTTTAATTCATTTAAACAAGCACTATGACCCAACTATGCTTTACTAAACGTTTTCCATATTTCATACTGACCAACCACGTGCTAGATCCAAAATTACTCGTACGGATTTCAGTAGGTGAGATAGAATTTTTTTAAGAATAAAAGGGAAAATAAGTTAAAATGAGACTATTCAATACATTTTTCTTTAAAAAAACATAATTTCCAATATTACCAGATTTTATTAACAAGTAATTATTTCGACAAAAGTACTTTTTTATCACTTCGCTTCTCATTATCAAATTGAAAATCGATAACAACGACAATAATATCGGCCATATTCAGTTATAACATAATATAATGTTAACCCTTAATACGATGGTGTCCAGTATGACGAACAACTAATTAAAAAAATCTACTGAACTAATTTAGAGAAAATTACGTACGACTTTATTAAACAAAAAAAAAACAGTTTTTTTGCTACAAAAATTTCGTCAAATTAAGGTTTAATTAGACGTTAGACGATAAGATCTTACTAATATTTGTCTAAGCCATTGTCATCTCTTGAAAAGCATTAAGAAAAATATTCACAAAACGTAGTTAAGTATTTTTTTATTTTTATATAATAATTCAGAAACGCAAAGACGTACAAATTATAAAAAAAAAAACATTTATAAATTTTCTTAATAATTTTCCAATATATTTACTAAAGAAGATTTTTTTTAATTCAATGTGTAATTATTTATAATATACGTAATTAAATTGCAAGCAAACAATAATAAATTATTAACATTAACTAAGTTTTTATATAGTTACCATGACTAAAATATGAGAAGCGAAGGAATCCTTTTTTTATTCTCTTCGGTCAAATTTAATCCCAAGTGATGTTATGATTTTCATCAAATTCAATGCGAAATTTATTTGAAATAACCAAAAAAATTTAATAATTAATTAATTAATATTACTTATGTATATTTTTTCGATGTTCCAATTAAATTTTTTGGAAATTTTTATTCAATTTTACAATCTGTAATAAAATTTTACAAAGTATAATGCAAGTTTACAAAATTGAATGTGATTTTACAAATTTAAATTCAAATTTACAAACTCAAATATAATTTTACAAAGTAATATTAGATGTTACAAACTTGAATTTATGCGTTTTTATTCACTTAAATTAGATTTTACAATCTTAAATTTGATTTTACAAACTTGAACCTCATTTTACAAAGTTAAATTTCGCATTGAATTGGACACAATATATTTATGAGTACAGGAGGCCGGAGACGGAGGCGTGTGCCATCACCGCCTGTGCGGCTTGGCGCACCTCGAGGTGATGACGAGCAGCATCCGCCCAGTCACCTGCTGCAGCTCGCGGGGCACCTTGCAGCAAGTTCACGTAGCGGAGAGCAGATTGAAGGTCGCCGTGGTCCATGTGGTATCTGGAGATAAGTTATTTGGTCATTATTGCATTGTCTCGCTCAACCTCCTTCCTTCATCCATTCACTCCCCCCCCCCCCCCGGCATAACCAAGCAACAAAAACAGAAATTTAGCCTAAGTGCCTTTTTCCACTTGGACTTTAGCTGTGCGACGGGAATTTTTTATAGCAGTTGCGTCACCAAAGGTACAAGCAACTGTACAAAAGTAGCGTGCGACCAAAATAATCTTTAAGTAATGATGGAAAATGTACAAAATCAAATGTAAATCTTCCATTTTTAAAGTAAAATTATAGAGTTTGTGAAGAATATTTTTTCCACTAAGCGTTTAACACTTTCTGCTAAAACTACGTTTCGACTAGAATTGTAAAAGACAATCTTCAATATTATAAAGCGAGATGAAAATGATACATAAGATAATATAATTTTTCTCTAATAGGAAATATCTTGCTAATATCATAAATGTGAATGTTTGGATGTATGGATAAATGTTTGTTATAAGATATCTCCAGAACGGTTGCATGGATTTGAGTAAAATTTGTCATAGATGTAGAACATAGACTGGAAGAACACATAGGCTACTAATTTCTTTTTTTTTTATAATTTAGCGCAGATAGAGTCGCGGGCGACAGCTAGTTACATTATATAGTAATTACCTCGCCCTCTGTATAATATCGAATGTATCCAGTTTGGTGAAGTCTGTCGGCTTGTTGTTCAGCTCATCCTCGGGAATTTCAGCAAACTGCAAATAAAAATATTTAAAAACACGATTCCATTACAATAGCTTAAATAAGATAGATTGGTCTAATTTTATTGTCTTCTTTCCCTTCCCACCCTTATAAGGATGAGAAGGGGATTTGACAGAGGAGGGGACACATGAGGGAAAATTCTTTTAATCTGCATCGCCTCCTCCGTCTATTAAAGGTAGGCAATACAAGTAATTGCGGATGTCTATGGGCATCGCTTCGCTATTTCGGCGAATCCACCCGCTTGCACGTTTGCCTCATCCTACTAATATTATAAATGCGAATGTTCCGATGGATGGATCTTTGTTATAAGGTATCTGCAGATCGGATGCATGGATCTCGCTGAAATTTGGCGTAAAACACAGTCTGGAAGAATACATAGGGTACTATTTAAGTTTTTTTTAATTCCTTGTGGACGGAGTCGCGGGCGACAGCTAGTTATAATATAAAAAAAACCATACAATAATGATAAGTAGGAAGCAAAGACTGGAATGTAGGATAGATCAGAAAGTGGACAGTGTGATGATGAGATGGTGTAGATGATGATGAGGAAAGAATATTTACCTTTTGGAACAACAACTTTGACTGAAGCCAGGACAAGAAGTAAACGGGTAACGGCGCCCCCTCGCGCCCGATCAGGGCAACTTTCATTGCGGTTCTCTCCAACTGAAAAAACAATAAAAAAAATTGTTGTCAGATTTACTGTCACTTAAATGGATTTAAGAGTGTGCCTTAGTGAAGATTTCTCATAATCTTACTAATATTACAAATGCGAATGTTTAGATATTTGTTTGAACGTATCTCCAGAACGGCTGAACGGATCTCGATGAAATTTGTCATACATATAGAACATAGTCTGGAAGAACACTTAGGCTACTAATTATGTTTTTTTTAATTCGGGAGTCAGCTATTTTACTATAAAAGTCGAATCTGGGTGCCTTTTAGACATTATTAGTTAGAATCCTTTGGCGCGAATGGCGTGCTTTCGTTACAATGTCAAGTGTCAGAATGATTACTGAGGGGACATTAACGTTGACATTTTAGTAAGACTAGTGTTTCCAGTACACCGGCACTGTGTCGGATTTTCTTCCTAACAGTGCCAAAATAAATGTCAAATTTAAATATGCCAGAGTCTAAGAGACCGCAGTATTTTTTTTACATAAAGAGTTTTCTCCTAAGCCCGAGTTTCTCGCTTATGGAGGTCGTCCATTGGGACAATGTCTCGCTTATAAAGGTTTCTCGCTTATCAAGTTCTGGGAGATAGTAAGCTGTATACCTTTTCAAATTTATCCAGCAAACATTTTTCAGTAGCAACGCCTTTCTGACGTGCTTCTTGTGGTATACCACTAAGTACTGTCTGCACCAAACGATCATCTTTACCTGAAAACATAGGAGAAACATGTACTATAAGAAAAAATAGATAAAATGGTAGTGTTGTCTCTTTCACACATACCCGTAAGCCCAGTAGTGTGAAAGAGACAACGCGCTACGAAGCCAAAATTATTGTTTGCATTACTTATCAGTTATCATCAGTTTTAATTTCGTTGTCTCATTGGTAGAGAGTTGTCTCTTTCACACATAACCGTAAACCTAGTAGTGTGAAAGAGACAACGCGCTACAAAACAAAAATTATTGTTTGAGTTACTTATCAGGTAACTCCAGTTTTAATTTCGTTGTCTCATTGGTAGAGCGTTGTCTCTTTCACACATACCCGTAAGCCTAGTAGTGTGAAAGAGACAACGCGCTACAAAACCAAAATTACTACGGTGACTTTTACCAGCTATCACCAGTTTTAATTTCGTTGTCTATCATGTTAGCGTTGTCTCTTTCACACTATCAAACCTAAGAGTATGTGTGAAAGAGACAACACCACAAAATCAAAATTGTTACGATTTAGTTTATTTACCAGCTTTCTCAAGGGCTTTAATTTCATTATCAATCTTAGCCTCAGTGGTGGAGCGCCTCGTGGCAGACAGCAGAGCCTCCGCCGCCGCCCACAGAGACTGTGAACGACGAGCCTCTTCCTCAGCCTTCGCTCGTTCTATAAAAAAAAAATAGTAAATTAAAAAAAACTCTACTGATTCTCCTTCCATTACAGTACAGAATATTCTGCGTTATATTAAACAAGTTTCGAATTTTGAAAGAATGTGTCATTTCGCCCATGCAATGGTGTGCAGTACCACGACCACACTAGCTTTGCTCACGATCCGATAAATTTGCGTGCCTATTTCTTAAAAGAAAAGGATGGGAAAGAGAAAAACATTCGGCAGAGAAAAGTCTCGAAAGGGGAAATCTTTCTTCTGTGCATCCTTTTATCGA